CCTTTTGTTAACACACTGAAGAATTTCTTACCAAAACCACCCACTGGCATTTACCTGTCACTTCCTCTTTCTTTCTTGATGAGGCTAGGAGAAAACTACAAGGTGGTTGTGTTCACATTTATGCTAAACAAAAGCTTCTATCTCAAACTCAGAGAAGGAAATGTGTACATGACTAACTCTGGTTCATAATTTATCAAACCGGGAAGGATTCGAAAAAACCAGGACAGGGTTTGTTATAGTATTCTGTGAAACTGAGCATGAGGAGTATTTGTGTAAATCAGCTTAAAAATACCTTTTTGGAATCTTGCTGTGTTTCTGGCCTAAATTACATGATTAAAGCTATATTGAGATTAAAATCACTTCTCACTGAAGGAGCAGCACTTTAAGCAAACGGACTTGGGAGTCCTAAGGACATGAAACTTAGAAATGGATGTAATAGGAGGCTTATTCCTGTGTACTGAAAAATTTCTTGCAGCTGCTGGGTACCCAGAAGTGCTCAGAATGGTCTGATTTCTTCTGGTCTGACACTGATAATGAAACAGACATGTTATGGACAAAGAACTCTATGGTCTCATAAAGGAAATAGAAGTGTCTTTTCAGTTGGTTCAGTGATCCCATTCTATGTAACTTCTCTTCTGTTCATTAATGTTTTTAGCTGCCACCCTCTGTGGTGCAGCCTTCCTTTGTGGACCAGATTATCCCAGAAACATTAGAAATCCTCTACCATGTGCCTCTAATTACTTTCATTTCTCTGCTCTGGCCTTTTCCCATTATCTTCTTTTAAAGAAAGCTTCACACATACACACACACACACACACACACACACACACACACACACACACACACACACACACACACACACACACACACACACACACACACACACACACACACACACACACACACACACACACACACACACACACACACACAGGAATAAGTTCACTTACACAAATTTAAAGGTCCTAAATTGGTTTTCTGTCCCCCAAGGGAAAAAAATCTAGAAGTGTCCTTATAAACTCCCATGGAACTCTATATTCTATATATTTTCTCATGGTAGAGAACTGAATGTCATTTCTGAACAGGGCTTTTAAGGAAAGATTTAAAAGGTGGCTTCTTTGGTTTTGCCGAGCTGTACAAATAGCCGCCTGAAGTCTCCCTTCAGCAGGGTAGATGACGGCCGGGGAGACTCGAGCTCCTAGTGAATATTATCTTCTCATGTAATGTTTCATTAAACAGCTAAGTCCACAAGTGTGCTCAAGATACATAACTCTCAAGAAAAAAAGGTATGTTTTCCCAAGTAAAGAACAATGATTTATGGCAGTAACTGTTACACCCTGGATCTGATTGGGCTTTGTTTTGAAAACTTATTACCACTATGGTTCTGTAGGATTTAGTAGTGCAACCAGCACCATTTGGCACATTTATGACAATAGGGTTCTGGTTTTCTTAACTCCACAGTTAAATGCTGGCAGCATTTCAAATTCTTGGCACAGATGTTTAAGTGAATATAAAGAAGAAACATTAAAAAAAAAAAAACCACTGGGCAGTTTTGAGTGTCTAAATATAAGCAACATTATTTTCTTAACATACATGGTACCATGAACTTGGGAATGGATGAAGTGGCAAACATGAAAACCATTTGTGAAGGGCTTTTAGGTTTTTTTTTTCATTGAGGGCTCTAACACTCTTCTGTAAGTATCTCTCCTATTCATGTCTACCAAGTGAAACTCAAATTTTGCTTTTGGTTTGTGATTGGAGAAAGGTTAGTGTCTGGAGTGTCAGTGGACAAGCAAGTAGATCCATTCCCAACACATGACCCTTGGGACCACGTGGCCAGGCTGCTGTGATCCCTGGGCTTCATACTAAAAATGCCCAGAGGCCTGTCAAACAGCTTTCTTGAAATGTGTTTTAAATTGCACAAGTGGCAAATCTACTTCCCGAGTTAAAATGTGAAGGGAAAAAAAAAAATACTGTAGCACATAAGGCAGGAAAACCATGCAGAAGTATTCCCTATGATTCTCTGTGGAGTGTTCGGTGTTGACTACTGAAGCAAAAATTATGCCACCAATGGGCAAAATGCTCCTCAGGTTCCCAGGGCTCCCCAGAGCCCCTCACCCATGAACTGGCTGGGTCCACACACATACACCCTGGATCAAGGTTAGGATGGCATTTCTGGACTTAATCCAAGTCTTCCTCACCTCGCTACCACCCCACTGCCCATCAACTAAGTAAAACAAACAAAAAAGTCCAACAAAAGCAAACAATAGCTGGCTCATGCTTGAAATGCTTTTCTTAGAAGACGTTTTTATGGCCCATAATTAAAGACAAAAATCTTACACTGTCGATTTATGAGAGGCAAGTGATCAACCCTGTCAGATCCCTGACAAAGGCAGTCACCAATGGAGGTGAGAAAACTAGGGAGTCATCTCTATGGGGGACAGAGGATGGGGGTGGGGACACGAGCAGGATGGAGGCAAATTGTGTCACGTCCAGAATTCATTCTAAGGACACCCTTACAGGACAGTTAAGGTGTCGCTCCCTCACCCTTCACTCAAGACACTAGACAAGCATTGGTAAAGCATGAACATTTATATTTAATTTACATTTTGACAATTTGCACATAAATAACAATGTAAACCAGTACGTAAACATAAGATAGTTTGTTCTAGCAAAGTAAAAAGCCAATAACTTTGGTCAGTTTTAACTGAGTAGAAGAAAGAAAAAAAAAAACCACTGTTGATTGTGGGCTCAACATTCACATGTAAGGGGCCTCAGAGAGAAAGTCAGATGGTACAAAGAATTACGAAGTCTCAAGCCACTGTGCAGGTCTCAGTAAAAATTTCCACTAATGAGAAAGCAAGAGAGGGCAAAAGGAGAGTAAATGAGTGATGGGGAATAGAAAATATTTGATGTCAATGTCAGAGTGTGATGCTTTGGTTTACCTATAATCAAGGACTGTGTTTGTCAAACACTGTTAAAAAAATATATCATACTCAACTGTCAGTTTCATTATTTAAAGGAATAGATCAGTAAGGCTCTTAGGTTTCCCTGGATTATCCTAAATTCGTTGTTCTCTTCTGTGGGCTGACATTAGTTGCCACAGACCAAAATGCTGAATATATAAACCAGATTGATTAGTGATCCATCAGTTATTTAAGAAGGAAGGAGAGGAAGAGAGAGAAAAGTTACAGTGGTTGATGAGATTTCTATTTCTGGGACTTGGGTGTGACCACATCAAAATGTGACCAAAAAAAAAAGCCATCTTAGATTGTCCTTAATAGTTAAAAAAGTATCTCTCTCTCTCCCTGGTTGTTACGCGGTCCCCACCTTTGCACCAAGATTTTAGGATCTCTTAGAATACCACGGGGGTGCCCAAGCTCACCAATGTAATTGTGAGGTCATCGAGTGCTAATTAAGCAAAGAGTCAAAAAGGGTTTGATTTTTTTTTGCCATTAGGAAAAGAAGGATCTTTACATGTTTTGGCTCACAATTTTAAGTGGTTATAAATATATATACATTGGTATAGTGGTATAAATAGACTTATAAATATACATCATTGTCCGCTACACCTTGAATGCCAACGTGTCATCTTTGGGCTTAGCAGAGGACGAGGCAGAAGGGGACGCATTCCATCTTTCTGGCGCACGTGTGCTCTCTCCTCTTGAGTAGCAAATCATTAGAGATGTTATCACTTCCTGCACTACTGGACACACTCAATGAGGTAATTGTTGTTGAACAACTTTGCAATGCCCTTTCTTCTTCAATTAAATTAACCATAAAATGTAAAAACACAAATACTGAGGAAAGTCCGAGTTGCACAGACGGAACAAATATAACTGATTGTGTTGGGGACAGGAATGTTCATTACCCGCTTTGACCCTAAGACAACGAGAATACCCGTTTTCCGGTTTTTGGTTTTTAAAGTGTGGCCTGAGCCTGTCTAACTCGAATCCTTCCTGGTCGAGCACCATGCTTGTGCAATTTTGACATAATAACAAAAAAGACCAACAACAAAAACACCTGGACTCATGCCCCCAGACCTCACCCATACAAAACCACCTGTGCTTTGGAAACATTTTGCAGTGGTTTTAGACATGGCATTTTGTCTTCTTCACATTTTCAGATAATACATTGGGATGCTAAAGTCTCATGGCCACTCCAAATGATCACATGACTTTGGGGGTGGGATGACCCTGTTTTTTGAAGAGGGAGACAGAGTGGCAAAGCCTTCTTATCACCTTTCTGGGAAATCTGTGATTGGGGGCAGGAATGCTGAACTCTCTACAGAAACATACAAGACTTTTATTTCTTCTACCTATTACTGGGTAATTCTGCAAACATACCCCCAAATTATGTTCAAATGATACAAGGCTGTTCAAATAATATAATCCTATGAACAAACACATCAACTGCCTAACTTTGGCAATACTCAAACCTCACTTTCAAACCATTATTATAGAGGGAGGTTGACTGAAGTAATGTATCTGTTTACTAAATCTTAGGTACTTAAAACAGATGTGCAGAAATTATCTACAAAGAATGGCCACCAGACAAAAATATAACACTTAACTCAAATTACAAGGAATTCTTCCAGTCATTGTAAACTTTTTTTAATTATTGCTTTTTGAATGATAAACTGTATAATAAATTATGAAGGATTATCATTGAAAAAATAATTATGGCTAGGCAATAGTCTTAGCAATGGGGAGGCTATGCAAACATATTCACACAAATATTCAAAATACAACAGGTTCAAATATATAGATGGGGTGTAAATAAGTATATATAATAGGTATATATATTGTCTTTGCCTCATTGATGCCCTGAGATTTCAGTAACTTTGGGGTTCCTTCTTTAATTCCAGAGAGGTGAGAGAAACCATCTGCCGTCAGGGAGAGCTCTGCAGAACTGGAATTATGTACAAGCGCTTGCGACAGGCACCCTGACTCGCCAAGTCATAAGTTAAGAAACAAAACATCTTTTGTTTTCTGAAAATCTTAAGGATCCATAGGTTCGACTGTTTCTTGTTTGACCTTTACAGGTCCCAGAGGTAGTGGGTTGCTGTGAGGCAACTTCAGGAGGGACGGCTCTGTTGACTCATAGAGGCCACACCCTGAGAGCAGTCCATTCCCCATGTTTCTCTGCAAAGACACTTTCAGGCCACTTTCTTCCTTCTCTTTTCTGACCACGGCCAGAATCTCCTTTTCCACCACAGAGGTCATGTCGATGTTGTCCTCCATGTCTTCCAGCCGGTCGGCATTGTCGCTGATGTCAAACTTCTCGATTTCCTCATTGATTCTGGTCAGGTCCTCCCCGGGCAGCCCGGCGGCCGGGGCCACGGGACAGTGGCCCTTCAGGTGGATCTTGAGGCTGCAGAGATGGATGTAGCTCTTGTGGCAGTGGGCGCACTTGTGGGGCCGCTCCCGGGTGTGTAGGCGCTTGTGGAGTTTCAGGTGCACAAACTGGGTGAACTTGGCAGGACACACCTTGCACTGGTAAGGTTTCTCTCCCGAGTGGAGTCGCAGGTGGGTCTTGAGATTGCTGGTGCTGCTAAATCGCTTGTGGCAGACCTGCGGTGTGGGGAGGGAGGCAGGGAAGGGAGGGTGGAGACCAGAAGGTTAAGAGCTGCCAAGGGGAGGTGCCAGCTGCCCACCCACGCAGGACAACCTGGGAGGGCAGAGAAGACTCCCTGGGGCCCCCCACCGCAGCGTTAGGCAAACAGGGCAATGTGGGGACGCTCCCTCGGGGGAGTTTCCCTCCCCGACCCCTGTCCGCCCAGTGGAAGCTGGCTGTGTCATCTCAACTCATCAGCAGCCTAAGGAAGGCAGAATTCCTGTGCTGGTTTAGGACACCAGGAGGGTGACTGCTGAGACAGTGTCCACAAAGGTCGCAAGTTCTACCCAGAAATCACTGCCCACCTGGCATTCATGCGGCTTCTCTCCCGTGTGTACCAGGTAGTGTTTCTGCAGGTGGGCGAGCTGCGTGAAGCCCTTGTTGCAAGTCTGGCATTTGAAAGGTCGTTCTCCACTGTGCACTCTGAGGTGGACCTGCAAAGAAGCCGCACACCTTAGCTTGGCTCCCACAGCAGGCTGTGAGAGTGAGCGTCTGGGCTCCAGGCCTCAGGGCGTTTAGGATGCAAACCTCTCAAGACAAGCATCAAGGTGAAGTCTTGGAACAAATCAAACCCCGATGTGGGTTTCACAACACTCTGTTGTGTCTGAGCTAAAGAAAAGTCACAGGCGAAGCAGGGACTCCACAGGGATCCTCGAGCGCAAACCCCAGATGTTTATTAATCAGAAGAGACTCGGGGGAGGGGAAGTTAACGGGTCCCAAGCGGCGTGGCCGCCGATGCCCTACTTGGGTCTCACACGCAGGAAACCGCCATCTACAGCCTGCGGGAGGTTTAAGGACCCAGGCGCGCTGTGTGCCCTTCCAGGGACAAACCGCGCGCATCGGGGTCGGGGGCCGGGGGTGACCACGCCAGGCTTACCTTCAGATTTGAGAGCTGCCCGAAAGTCTTGGCGCAGACGTTGCACTCATACTTGATCTTGCCGTTCTGCTTCTTCAGCGGGTAGGGGAGCGTCTTGTAGCCAGTCATGCTCCTTTTGTTCTTGATGAGATTCACCGCCTCCTCGCCTCCGGGGGCCGCGGCGGCTGCTGAGGTAGCTTTGGGCTGCACCACGTGCTCGGCCGTGGCGGCAGTGCCGGCCGTCGGGGAGCCGCTGGTGGGGGTGCCGGCCTTGTCCTTCAGGCTGGCGGCCGCCCCGGGGAGGGAGAAGGCGCTGTGCGGCGCGGGCACCAGAACCTCCCGGGGGTGCTCGGGCTGCAGCAGGCGGCGCGCCCCCTCCGAGGGCAGCGAGCTGGGGAGCGAGGCGGGCGCCAGCATCGGGGGAGGCAGGCCGCCCCCGCCCAAGAGGCCGCCGTACAGCGGGCACAGCCTCGGGAAGAGGCCGAGGCTGCCGAGGCCGTTGATGTTGCCCACGGCGGCGCCCAGGCCGTTGCAGCTCAGGCCGTAAGGGGGCAGCAGGAACTTGGGGTAGTGTGCGTTGTAGGAGGGGATGAAGGCGGGCGGCAGGTGGGTGGGCGGCCCGTAGCCGGCCAAGGAGCCCAGCCCCTCGGCGGCGGCCCCGTAGGGGGCGTTCAAGTAGGCGTAGGAGTCGCGGGCCTCCTGGGGGCCGGGGGCCAGCGGCGACACCGTGTTCCCGGGGCTGCTGTGAGGGCTGCAGCTCTGCAGGCTCCGGTCCGGGCTGCTGCGCGCCGAGGGGCTGGGGGTCGTGGAGGACGGGATGGGGGAGTGAGTGAAGTAGGGCTGCCGCTCCATCCCGTAGCATCCCAGGGGTGCTTTCAGAAAGTCTTCCGGGAGCGGGGCCCGAATCGGGTACACCACGCGCGGGTAGAAGGGCAGCTCCGGGCTCCCGTTTTTCCTGAAGTCATCCGCGTCCTTCTCTGAAGTGAGGGGTGAAATGCTGGAGCGGTACATGTCCTTCCCTTTGGAAGGGTGGGAGTCCAATTTGAGGATCTCTTTCACGCTATACTCTCTCTTCGGGACACTCTTTGGGCACAGTTCGTGTTTCTCAGTGCTCGGCTGCTTTGGACGGCTCTGGGTTTGTGCTGAAATAAAGAAAGGGTGATTATTACTCGGAGGGAGACAGAAAATTGAAGCGACACTGCCCAGGCTGCCCTTTCCTCGAGCAAACCTGAGCCCCAGCTGCTCCAAGAGGGCCACCTGGCTTCTCAACGCCCTCATTCTAGAAGGCTCATGCCACTCCACAGTTCCTCCTCAGCAAAACCGGGTCACTGGTGGCATCAGTCAGACGAATAACATCGTTCGGACGACTGTTTCCACTGGTAAAAACCTCATGATAGAACAGTCCCGTACAACCGAGAATAGGAGCATGCCTCCACGAAATACTGGGTGTGGGGTGTCACAGGTTAATAAAAGTCACAGTTTACCTAAAGGAAATCAGCACACCCTGTGAACTAGATGTGAAAGATGAAGACTCATTTCAAGTAATAAGCAGTCATCAATTTTCACCTCCATTCTTGTTTAATACGAATTTGATAAAATCCTGTTCAAACTGCCTCTGTCAAACAGATAAGCAAGGTGATGCGACCCCTTCCTCTGGATTTGCTGACAACATCAGAATTTCACTGAGGCTCTGGGTCTCACCAGGCTCCCAGTAATGCTGTCCCCCCGGAATCACAAGGCGTGACATAGTCATCTCTGCCAAACCACAAATGGCACTTTTCGAGCCAGTTCAATTACTTAGAGCACCAAAGAAAACAGGCAGTGAAGATGAAAACACGTATTCCAAAAGATGGCATATTATTTACTTTGTAAATAAGACTGTTTAGGAACAGCAGCAATGCTCTTAAACAGAGCCTGTTTACGACAGGTTCTTCAGGCCATGGTCAGCGTTGCTCCCTCCAAACATGCAGAATGAGAGATGCTTTCGGGAAGACACCAACCAGCCAGAGCTGGGAAAACCGACCACTCCCTGCTCAGCCTTCCCTGGAAACCAAAGGCAAAATACAAGCTGCTTGGTTGGAGCTCTGGTTGTTGGCAGGTAAGCACTCCAGCCTGCACACTTGCCCTCAGTGTAGGGAGAGATGAAGGATCAGCTGTGGGTTTGTATAGATGCCATGAGAGGTAGGAGAGCTCTGGGTCTCAGCCTTAGAAGAGGACAGGCTCGGGGGACCTTGCTAAATAAGCCTCCGTAAAAGCATCATTTTGTTGTCCCTGCTTGATTTAATGGAGGAAGAACTCTAGGCTGATACCTGATAGGTCTAGAAGTGAACTCTGTGGACTCCAGAGTCTGAACTCTTCAAATCCATTCTCTAGGCTGACAGGCTTGAGGGATTCGATTCCAGTTTGAGAGCCCCCTCAGAATGCTATCTCTGCTGGCTGTTATCAGTTACTCCCGGGTGAGCCTGAAGCCCCAGAATAAACACAGCCCAGACATCATCAGGGAAGATGCTGATGGGGGCAGTGATGGAAAGCTTGTTGAGGGAGAGGGATTTCTGAAGCCACTAAACCAAAATAAATACCCCCTTATCAGGCCAATATCAGTCTTTCAGTGAGGCTCAGCAGGCAGGAAGTTCAAATTGTCACTTTTGTTTTTTAAAGCTGAAATGGTAAAAGAAGAGAGGCAACTGAGTTGGAAAGCTGATAGGCAAGGCATCTCACAGCCACCGGAGGGGATTTTGAGGCAAAAAAAGAATGATTTGGAGGTAACCATATAGGCTCAGGTTAAAAAAAAATAAAGATATAACCCTAAAAATAAAGAAAACACAGAAACTTCACCATCACAACTTTCCGCCATTTTTATGTGGCAAATTACATCTAAGTCTCCTAATTTTTTCTAGTAGCTTCAACACTCTCTGGGTTCTAAAATTCAATAAATTAAAGTTATAAGCAGAAAGTTTTAATCTGTCCATAGCACTGCCCTCCTATTTAGTCAGGTGTTATTGCTGAGCACCTCCATAATCCAATTATTGAACTGTCGCAAAGCTAACAATCGAGCCAACAACAAGAAAAGTTGGAATTTATTATTTTCCATGCAAAATACTGAGCAGAGTGTGCCTAGCATATCGTAGCTCCACAATAAATGTTCAGTATCTCTTACACCTTCATAAAAATACATTTACTTCTTATTAGAAAAAAAAACAATATCCGGAGAACAATGTCAGCCCCCCTCAGGTGTTCTAATGTGCCAATCATGGAATCTGTGCCTGTGTGTGCTAAGTCACTTCAGTCGTGTTTGACTCTGTGCGACCCTATGGACTGCAGCCTGCCAGGCTCCTTTGTCAATGGGATTCTCCTGGCAAGAACACTAGAATGGATTGCTGTGCCCTCCTCCAGGGGATCTTCCTGATCCAGGGATCGAACTCGCGTCTCTTCCATCTACTAGCATTGGCATATGGGTTCTTTACCACTAGTACCACCTGGGAAGCCCTCATGGAGTCTATATGAAGGTACATTAAAAAAAAACCATCCTTCAGTAGCTGAGTAATCAGTGGAGCTGGTGTCATTTCTGACTCTCCCACTCAGCAGCAGCTTGAGTTAACTTGAAAAAGAAAATCAAGATCTGTTTTTGTTCTTAATTCTTTAATGGCTGTAGGCGGACGGAGTCATTTCAAGAGTGAACTGCTTCTGAAGGCTCTGAATGGCTTAATTATGCCGACTCACATTTTCGATCTATAATAGGAACCCCCAAGACTATAAGAAAGAACCTAGAAGTTCTGCAGTAGGCAAAACAAAGTCTGTTTTCAACTGAAACTGAGAAAGCAGATTAACATTTAGAAGTCTATAATTTGGTCAACTGTTTTCTAGATGGGTTAGTTAGATAGACTGAAAAAAAAAATACAAAAAAAAAAAAAAAAAACTTGGGAGGGTAGGACTTAAACCTAATAATTCCTACTCCTTTTCTTTGTTGTTGTTGTTATTTTTTTTAAATAACTATTTGTGACTTCTGGCTATTTATGATTTTTCTTGACCTCGGTTTTCTTCAAATCTCTTCTCAAAACTCTACCAACTGAACCATCACTGCCATTTTAAAGCCCTCACGGAGATTCTGGCAGAGGCCTCTACTGTGTATGAAACATGGAACCCAACACAACTCATCTGAAGACACAATCTACCTTTTAGGCCTGATGAAATAGTGGAAATTTTCCTGATCAGCATCTCAATCATCAGTTACCACACCTAAGACAACTGGTTGCACAACAGGCAGCAGGAGTCTTGGCTTACTGTGACTGGTTATTGTTAATTTTCATTCTGTACTACGAATACTGGACAGTGAATGGGTACCTGAAAATGTTCAACCACCATTTAGAAAAAACTCTGCATAAACAACCGATATTTGAGGGAACAAAGGTGTCATTTCATAGAGAACATGGCAGTTCCTTCAGAGCTCAAAGAATAAGCATTTGAACCTTAAAATTCTGTGCTGGGCCTTCCGTTGGGGAATAAAAATGCAAGGCCTTTAGGACCTTTCTTTGTCTGGAAGAAGGTGAGGGATGTATGTGAAAAAACTTCTCTGTGGTTACTGCAAAGTCACCAAGGTGGGTCATTTAAAATGGAGTTACAGTTCAAAGAAAATAAAAAATCAAAGTCTTTTTTTCTGAATTCATGAATGATGAAGCTCAAGGAATGTGAGGAAACCCTCAAGAGGAAGCTGCAGCTATGTTGAGAAAGTCAGGAAGAAGCAGCTCATTTTCCTGGGAGATGGCCTGCTGGAGTATAAGTTGCCTTTTACCACTGGGTCTGGCACCTACAGATGGTAAAAGAGTGGAAGGGCTCCTGGGATACTTGGTACTAGTGATATAATGGGGACTCTTGGGAGTGCTAAAGAGAGATGAGGGAAAAGACCTACTACCATTGGCCAGGACCTGGTTATACCTACTATGCTCAAGCTGGAAGCCAGTCTGTTTCCAAACATTTCAAGGATTTTTTCCCAAACCTCAAGGGTGCACTATATGTGTGTATATAAGCACCACAAACACAAACTTGAATATATTATGGTAGAGGTCTTTAAGCTTTTATAGCCTCAGCTTTTCAGAAAACTACAAATAGTCTTGAGATCATTGGGAAAGCAGTCAACTTGACAGTGTGGGATGAGTACCAAATAGCTGTAGAGTTGGATTATACCTGACTAGGATAAGTAATTGGTTTGTTAATTGGCTAAAAATTTAAGTCAAATTTTAATTTATGTTAATATTAACATTCACCCCAAAGGTCTCAGAGGCCAAAATGTGAACTAAAACAATTTAGACTCCAGATAAAGCAAATGGGACAGCATATGGATGATTGATGAATCTGGGTAAAGTGTTTCTGGGAATTCTTTGTACTGTTCTTCCAACTTCTCCTTATGTTGGAAATGAGATCAAAACAAAAGATTACAAAAATTTCAGCATTTAGATGCCAAACTGTGAAACCAAAAGGAGCTGCTTTTAAAAATCTGCTTTAAAAGCAGTCTGAGAATATACAACTATAGTTACAACAGGTTGGAATTTTATGGTAAACCTTACATCATTCCTACAGATCACTTGAGAATGACTAAAACAAAGTAGCCCTTTGCAGAGAGGTCATGACAGCAACTTTAACCAATAGAAAAGTAAAAGCTTATAAACCTAAGGAACTGAAAATTTGTTAAGATGAAGTGATAGGTGGTTACTGTAATACCGATCAGGAGATCAGATAATTAGGTTTTTACCATAAGGAAGGAAGCAAAGATATAAAATCTTCAGGGTTATCCATTTCGAATAAGATTTGAAAAATTATAGCTCCAAGTTTTTCTAAACAATTTATGTTTCACATCAGACCATAACTTGATAACCAAATGTGCATCTACATTTCAAAGCATATTTTAAGCACTGACAAATTACCACAAACAAGGAACTATACCTTTCATCCATGGCATGTCAGAACTAATCTCTATTACAATATAATCCTACCTGCCCCTTTTTGGACAGATTAGCATTGGACCTTTATTTCTTCCTGTACATTCAGAGTTGCTCTTAGTATTTTTCAAATGATCAAGTTTCATTATAGGGAATAGAGACTGAAAAAAATTGTTTTTCTCTTCCCAGTGCTGAGTTTAAGTCACCTACTTGGCCCATCAAATGAAGCCATGTAATTAAACAACATGTTATTAGGTGCAAAGGGGCAGAACTGACATTACTGGCATTTTTAATTTTTTTTTCTGTAATCCACTTACTGAGATTCATCATTGTCAGCTCTCCGGGATAAGGGGAGTGAAGCCTTTCCGCAAAGTCCCGGCAGTACCACACAAGAAGCTCCTGGTTGGCAGGGATGGGCTTAATGGTGTAGAAGTAGATGTTCATGCCGTTCTGACAGGCGGCCAGGTTCTGCTCCCAGGGAGAGTATGCCGGGTTCACGTAGCGCAGCCAGTTGCTCTTCTCCACATTAAAGCCGTCAATGAAGTGGTGAAGCTCCCCTCTGGAATAGATCTGCGCAGAAGAGAAGACAGACGTGGAAAAGAAAGCCCCCAATGCAACGGAAAGCTTGCCAGCACCTCTGGGATTAAACACCGCAAGTATGATTTCTGGTCCCTGACTGCCTCGTTAGAAAAGGAAATCAGTTTAGCCAGAGTTGTCTTGAATCAGCAGAAATAAGGGCGGAAACAGGGGAGGCACGCTTTGTCAGTTACCTTTTCCATTTCAGTTTTAGGGTCTTTTCATGTTTGGGGAAAAGCTACAGAAGAAGGAAACACAAGATTTCGTTTAAGGAGCTGCCGCACCTAGTTCTGTCTGCTAGCGCAGCGAATGGCACAGAGGCAACACTACTGGCTTGAGTTCCGATCATTCTGGCTTTTAATGCTTTGAGTCACTAGGTATTAGACCAACCCGACTGAGTACGTCAAACTGAGTCTCAGCTTTTTCTATGGCCTCTGTACTTGTCGTTTCCTACACCCCCGCCCAAGGCTTAAACTCTGCAAACATCCTCCACCCCCAAGCCTCCTAGTCCAGCAGTAACACTTGTTCATATGAATACTTGGAACTTTGCCTTTTTGTGGAAACGCTGGGTGGGGCCAAGGTGAACTTCACCTGCCATAACAAAGTGAACACTGGGACAGAAGCCAGCATCTGACAGTCTACTGAGAAGTCACTCTTCCTCTTGATTAATGTGTTTGGCCTTGCGCTTTTCTTCCAAGGCTGAGGAAGGGAGAGGGAGCCCTCTTATCTGTGAGGAGGTTGGCTAAGACACCACCCATAGAGCCATAGGGTTTGTGTTTTTGGAAGAAGAGGAAAAAACCATGTTGTTCTTTAAAAGCAACAGAAAATGAGGAATTCAAAGTTCGTCCTAGAGTAATACTACTTCTGGTTAGCAGATATCCTCAGGCCACTCGGTAAAAAGGTAAAGTCTTACTGAAACGACTTTATAAACAGACCCTTTACCTTCCCCAGAAAGTTTCTCTTTCCCTCTTTTTAAGATGGACCCATCTCATCTCCAGACTTAAGAAAGATCCTTACACACAAACAAGCAATACCTGGTTTTCTGCAACTTGGAGGCTCCAAGTCATAGGCCATGATTCACAGCAGAAGTTTTGCTCTAACCGGACAGCAGGTCATTGCTTTGTTCTTAGTCACATACTGACTGTGTTAATCTCTAAAGTGTTTCTGTATTTCGCTCAAACGTTATCAGAGACAAAAAGGAACTCTGTCCCTTTAACACAGGCAGTAAACACCAGAATCACTTTCTTTTAAGAGTAACTTCCTGTAAATTGTGAAGGGGGAAATACATGTGGCTTCATCAAAGCAGCTTGTGAGAGCTTTTGCGGTGTGTTTTGTTAAGAGAAAATGGAACAAGGCTGGGTGAATTCTGCTATCAAGAGGGGTTTTCAAGTTTGTTTACTCTGATGTGCAAACTTCCAGGAACACGGGGTTCCATCGCTCTTGCACTCTTCGCTGGGCGGAAACTGCTTTCTAAAGCTACGGGTATGTTGATTCCAGTCAGCCTTCCACAGACTACAATTTACTGTATCCTCATTTAAAAACAGAAATGTCGATGCCATGAAGTCACACACACACACATACACACACCCACAAGAAAATAAAATAATGATATGTCAGATGAACACTGCTGCCTATCACCCTCACTCTTATTTCCATATATTATCAAGAAGATTAAAAACGTGCTGACTCATAGCACAGTTACAAGAAATGTCACTGGTTTCTCAACTTGAACATCCCTTCTCTTCTTTGACTGTGTAATTTGCATGAAACTTTTTCTTTCCTCACAACAGATGTTCATATTCCTGCCAGCAAAATCAGGATGCTTTTAACAACATGTGGGGAGTTATCTCCTACAGTATCCTTTGCATGTGAAGGACCAATTCAAATAAATCCTCTCAGGGAAAGCATTTCAGCTACTTAGAATGAATCTTCAGTAAACTAGGGAACTGAGACAGAGATAGGAGGTTCTTAAATATTTCTTGTCATTGTTTTTGAAAGGACCATGCATTAACCAGACTTATGCTGGATTGTTTTAATTCAGACCTTAGACTCCATGAATTACAAATATCTATGGCTCACTTCTCAGAAGACCTTACTGGCAATAAGGGCAAAAATGCACTCACATTTTACCCATTATTAGTCAGGTATTAAATGTATTTTAAGCATGAGTAATTATTAAATTTGTGAGCACACAATTCATAGTGGAAAATTCTCAGTGATCTCTTTTGTTCAGAAAATAGTAAAATACATTTCTTAAAACACAAAACTTCCTGGGTTAAAAAAAAAAAAAAGCTTGTTTCTTAGGAACAGCTTCTGGGTGATCAACAAATATAGGTCTTTTATAAAAATACTTGCCCAAAAAATATAAGCATTCTAGGTAAATCCGACTAGAATAAGTATAATATGGGCTTCCCTGGTGGCTCAGTGGTCAAGAATCCGCCTACCAATGCAGGAGACACAGATTCAATCCCTGGGTCAGGAAGATCCCCTGTAGAAGGGAATGGCAACCCACTCCAGTATTCTTCCCTGGGAAATCCCATGGACAGAGGAGCCTGGTGGGCTACAGACCATGGGGTCACAAAAGAATAGGACACAACTTAGCGACTAAACAAGTATAAAACAGTTTTTGTTGCTACCATGCAACTGTTTCTTGAAAGAATTCCAATAAAGGTTTCCCAGTAATCATGTACATTTTATGGAAGTCTATATACATACATATATATAATTGCTTTTAAATTTATTTTCTAATGGAGGAAACTGAATATCCAGAGAGATGGATGGGAAAATGGAAAACAGTCCATTTTTTTCTGTTCATTCTCATCCACAGTCTTTTACCTAAAGATTCCATCTAATTAGTTCACCTGTGAGGTTCTTTCTAACTGTGATATTCCAAAGGAAACTAGATTGACTAGATGGGATGTTAAAGTTTATCATCTTGAATGATTGTAAGCATCTCCCTTACACTATGGAATAACTTATGTGCTGTCAAATCCAGTAGTTTCACGGTACAGATACATTTTACAGGATGAGTCTTGTAGTCCATCTATTCCTCCAGTACCATCTTCTATTCATCCTTCCTAAATGGCATTTATTTTCAAGGTAATTCATTTGTGATTACTCGTCCATTCAATTAAAGTTAAGTCAGCAAGAAATCAAGAAGGGGTGAAATCTAAGGCTTGGTGACTCATTACTACTTCCTTGCACAGAAATGCAAATGAACTTACCCTTGAAGCAAGCAGCAAACTGTTTCCTTTCATCACAAAACTCTAATGAATCGCAAAAATTAAGATTCACACAGACCACCTCTTCACCCCAACTACCTTCAAGCTGTGTTTCCCAGGCTGAACTTTTAACCAGTTTCGTCACAATTGCTTAGAATTCCCTGTGTCCATGGGGACCCTGAATATTGCGGGGAGCCCCAGGACAGTTGAAAAAGGAAGTGACCCAGCAATTTTAGTTTCATTTTTTTCCCCTAATACTTAATGAGTTGGGAAAAATTTCCCTACTTACCCGCCAAAAATATTTCCTGTTGGCGTTTTTGGGAACTGTATCACTGGTGTAGATTTCACCTATTAGAGGTCCAAAACGTGTTCCCTTTGGTATGTATTCTTTACTCACCACTCCAGTAATCTAAAGGGGGTAAAACATATGAAACAGTGAGTTCAACAGTAAAATATGAATCGATCTTTTCATTTCAATGAATTGAACTGTCAAATGGTAATACCACCAATGATAACAAAATTGTGCTATAGAGAGCAGACATTAACGGTGCCTACATAATTAACAACGAGCTTGACTTTTGGGGAAGACTCTCTGTTAAACTCACAGATGATAAGCAAATATTTAGCCAAGTATAATAGTCTAGTTCACTGGTGACTGAGGGCCCAATATTTTTTATTAATACTTTTTATGCTACAAGAACAGAATGGGTAAAACTATTCCATTTTAGAATGCGTTTCGGATACTGCAGAATTAAGACAGTCAAGGTTAGACCATTTTAGCCCTCTCCTAGTTTCCTATTTCTTCTTCTCCCTCAAACCATAAACACAGTGTGCTTAAGGGGAATAAAATAGTTTTAACCTCAGAAACCAAAGTAATGTTCTTTGGTTGTTCCACAAAGGCCTAAGGAACCAAAAACAAAACACAATATATTTTTTTCATTCCAGATGAGGTTTTTTTTTTTTTTTTCCTTTCTTTATAACTTGTAAGTTCTCTTTAGTAGAAGGAAATTCTTTCAAGTAACTTTGCTCTTCTCTAGCATCTTCTGCTCAACGGTGGTCGAAAGTCTTCCTTTGAAATAGAATTTATATCTAGGAGAGCTGTGGGTTCTAAGATCTGAGGAAATGACTTTCTCAGACTGGATGGATCACACATTTGACTCTGGAGGGCCTTGCTAAAAAGAAACATGTTAACTATACCAGTTCCTCCCTGATGGTAAATTTCTTGGGGGGGTGGGGCGCAGTATAAAAAAGTCCACGAATCAGGAAGCAATTCATCATTATTCAAAAGAACTCTGTAACAGTCCCTTACAACATTTTGCAGTACATTTTGTTTTGTTTTTTATTCACTCACTTTCCCATCTTGATTTTCTTTTCACCCAAAACAGCCTACAAATCACTTACTGAACGCCTTACTGATACGGACAAAGAGGAGAGGTAAAACGTATTTATGTCCAGTTTTTATTATCCCTCGTGGCTCCTTTATAATTGTGCACCTGAAATGGTAGGCCTTTATAGAGGCATCAATAAATGTCTGCAGTGGAATCTACGGTTTTGGTTTTGATATACACTGATATATAAATTAAATCTCATCAACAACTGAAATCTTTGTTTAAAAGGATATAGAACACACCTACACGCTTGTGACAGACCAATCTTTCTCATGTACATGACTTAAAAATTAATTTTAAAAATTTAATATTCAATATACAAGCCAATGGAGCATACCCAGACTGGAAAGACAGAAAAAAAGAAAATTTCCTATACCCAACACAAGTTGAAACAAGGTTGGTGAGCTAGAGTGTTATTTTTGGTCCGTTATGAATTTCTGGCAAGAGCTGAAAAAAGCAGATGTTCATTTCATTCTACTCCTCTGCCTCATTTACATCTATCTGCCGTTTCAATAACAGTTCATCGTTATTGGTATATGCTGGCAGTATAGCTCTGAGGAGCACTTTACAACAGTCTTGAATTAAAAGTACATCCTAAAGGTTAGGTAGACTTATTCAGAGATTCATTGTTTATTATATATAATTGAAATGAATTTGAAAAATTCATGGAATCGGCTTTTATGACACAAATCATTTGGCATTCGTATCTGAGTGATTATTCCATAATATTAAAATGACAAACAGGAAAAACAAATAATGTCATTCACTGGTGAGCCAATAATTAGCAGTTGATATTTTCAACATATCCATTTTAAAGCAGTAATTTTAAAAAAGGTACTCAACTGGTTTATCAACTTTGTTTTAAATTATAGTCTCTTGCAGACAGTGTCTTGGGAGTCAGAGCTTGATTACCAACAAGTAGTGTGATATCGAGGTTAGGGTTTTTCTCCTGAATTGCCATTCTTTTAGCCAATGGGCCTCGTATTCAGCTATCAATCTTACACTAAGAAAATGCACAACACTTTCTTATGGTCCGAAAGAAGTCAACCAGCAACTTGTTCCTACAAAAGAATTTGCAGAAGACATAGGCACCAAACATCTTTGAGCGCAGCCACAGGCAAGTCACTGGGGAAGATGTGAGGCGGCATTAAAGAGCTCCTGCCATCAACAGCCATACAAATGCAACTCACAGACAAGACAGGAGAATAATTTGTCTGGAAAGGGAGGTCTAGGGAAATCCTCAAGTCCCAAACAAAAGAGCCTCAATACTAGATTATCTTTACAAGTGAGACAGAACACTAACATTTTAAGTTCTGCAATCCATAGAGCTTTGGGTACTTGTATAGTCACACATGAACAGAGACACCAAATCATAGAGTTTTGAGGCTGGAAGGAACCGTTTAGCTCATATACTATCTCTATCCATTCTCAGTTCAGCACCCTATCTCACAATCAGCACCTTCATCTCAGATCCTTATCTGAGAAATTATTCAAAGAGGACATAAGAGCTATAACTCTTAAGATTCCAGCTCTAAGACTCCTGAGCTCAGCCAGGTAACGAGTGGGAATCAGAATCAGGGTAGTTTTTAATGGGAAGTAAGAGACTAAGTCATACTTCTCCCTCTGGCCCTGGAAAGATCTGGATGTGAATCTTAGCCAACAACCAACAACATTCTATCCTTGGAGCCAGGACATAATGTAGGGAAACCTGGTGTGTGCCTTGAATTTCCCAGAACTAGAAGGACTAATTAAGAATGTGTTCACCTAAGCTCAGGAAGGAAACTTCACTGGAACTGACCAGGGTCCTAAAGCATCATTTCTGGGCCCGGGCTCCTGTGTGCCTCCCATAAATCTACCAGCGAGAGGATACTGGCCTTCCCACTTCCCCGCCTGCCTGCTCTTTCCATCTGTGTGCTCTCTGCTGGGCTGACCCCTACAGATCTATCAACAGCCTCAGTTACACAACATACCCTGAGACAAAAAATAGGGCTTGTTTTCCATTTTACAAAATGAAGATGTCACAACTTAGTATGGGTGGACTAGGAGTGCCGAATGAAAGTTTGAGAGTAAGGAGAATAATTTTTTTTTAAAGCGAATTCCCTCTTTAGGAACATATGAATACATATGCATCTCATTGAGTTTCAAGCAGAAGTATTATTCAGGTCTAATGATGGTATAAGTATCCTCACCCCAAATTATATCAAAATCATTTTAATTACTAGCTACCTCTTCCCTTCCCCCTCAAAAAAATGACTCATTAGATTAAAATTCTATTTTGAATACAAGCATATTTGCATTGAGATGGCTAGTGCTCTGAAGTGAACCAAGACTTCAGCCTGCACTTTACTCCATTGTTTTTAAAGGGGGTGGAGTGGATAGAGATGTTTTTGGAAAGTTTCCTTAATAATCTTTATATTAAAGGAAATGCCTGGTTACATGGTCTCCCAATAAAAGGCAGTATGAAGAGGGAATTGCATATTATGGTGAGATACTTTTTACAGATAAACTTGAGTTAATAATGGACTTCAATCAAAATGGACACTGAGTCCCCATCATTGGCCTGATGTTTAATTGCCACATGACTCTGGAGTTCAGGCTCAGAGCACCAGAGCCTCTGAATTCAATGCAAGCAACCTCAGGTTAGGCTACGGCTTCTAGAACAGAAGTGTTTAAATCGATCTTTCTGTGTTCAAGTATTCACAGTAGATTATTTCAGGAGATCAAGGGGAAAATCCCCCTAAAAGAATAACCCAGCAGTTTAAAAAGTTTTAAAAGTTTTTTGAATAGAATGTCTATATTTGGTTTGGGTTCTGGAAATAGGAAGTAAGAACAGCCTCATTAAAGGTGCAAAATGATTCTAAACTAAATCTAAAAATGAGGGTCAAGATCAGAAATATGGTTTGTATGTTTTGTTTTTAAACCCAAAAAAAAAAAAAAAAAGGTGCTGACACATAGCACAAATTCATAATGAAAAATGGTCTTGTTAAAAAAAAAAATCCCCAGGATGTCAGCACATCAGTACATAATGTAACATCTTCTGCTACTTAAATGAAAACATTTAAAGAAAGGCAAGATACATCAGTCAGATAAAAACTATGTGTACAAAGGCTTTTTTCCTCTTTCCAAGGCTCGTGGGACTGAAAGAACTAACTGAATAATGATAATGTAAACATTTCATCCATTCTGAATGTTTCTGTCCTAGAACTGGTTTGCAGCTATCATACTCTCAATAGCTCAATTTCACAGTTCTCTTTCACCATCTTGAGGGAGCTGTCCTTTTCCAAAGTGCAAAAAGGAAGGAAGGAGAAACAGAAAAGCAGGTACACATTACAGAGGGAGTAATGCTGTAATACTCCCTGGCTTAAGCCAGTATTACATTTAAGCTGGTTTCCTGGTTACTTTTATGACGAAGGACTAAAGACACACTGTTCTCTTCAAGCATTTCAGTAAAATCAAATAGGAGAAAACAGAGTAAGAGAACCCTAACCTCTTACTAGGTTTGTTCCAAAGGACCCTCCTTAGGAATACAGGCACTGCATGCTTTTTCAGTGCTGAACATACGAAATAGGGAGTTACACATGCAATGAAAAAACAGCAAACAAGCTTAATAAAGGATTGGTCTGAAGTATGTTAAGACGATAAATAAAACCACAGTGACACCAAGAGGGGCCAGTGTAGCACAATGTAGAAGCATTAGTTGGAAAGTCTGAAGAACTTTGCTCCAAGTCTGGCTCTGGCTCCAAGTATACACCTTAAGTACGTGCCTAGTCTTTTGAACTTTGGACTAATGATCTAAGGGCATTTTTCCTATTTAGCTATTATTTTACATAGAATGATGAAAACTGAAAGACAAGCTAAGAGCTGAAATGAGGACAATACTACAAAACTAAAAGGCAAGGATGAACCAGAGTGGAGGTCTTGATTTTAATCCCAAGCAGCTGGACAGGGCAATACAACACACATTAAAATCTGGGAACTGACCAGTATTTGGTCAAATCTGATCTGGGAAAAAATGCTACACTTTTTAAAGCCACAGACAGACCTTACAGACCCAAACAAATCCTATACTGATTCCATGGGCCACAAACTAAGAGACTTTCTATAGAAAAGGGTGTTACTTTCACAAAAAAGATGTAATTAAGGCCGACTTCTGGGGTCAAGTTTTTTGGTAATGTTCACATACAAATAGAATTTAAATTTTGCTTTTTATGAAATCAGCCTCCTCTCTCCCACTAGGAAAAACGGGGTGGGGGGAAAGTTGAGTTTTAATGAAACCCAAAGCAGAGCTGCTCTATTTAATTTTATGCAGCTGTGTCACCCCCTCACTACCAATACTGAACTCAGACACACAAACAGGAAAGAGACAAAGTATTTCCCAAATCAGCTCTCAACGCCTTCAAATACTGTTCCTTAGGGAAGGAGGAAAGTGATTTGACATGGCTGTAATGAATAGTGTCAGGATGGAATTCTGGACTCCCACAGCAAAAGACCCCCTTTCTCACGACTTTCTGAAGGCAGTGATAGGATGGACAGCGAGCCACAGGGATGGCGGTGGTAAGTCTGTGGTGGGGTCGATTCCTTCAACTCAGCCCTGAATCGACCCACGAGAGCAACTGCAGTAGCTGAATTCTCAAGAGGTGGTTCTGCAAGTTTTTTCATAGCTGAACATCACGCCTTGCTATAATCATTATATAAAAGGGTAAACACAAATCCTTTGCTCATTCCAAGTTTGGGTTTTCAACCCCTTTGAAACAACAAAGAGTGTACCCACTTCAGAGGCCAAGAAGGAATCGACCTGCCAGCCCCGCCAGAGCAAAGAAGCTGCCGCAGATAAACAGTGGTTAGCTCTGAAGTCACCCGGACAGAGGACACTTACACAGACCTCTTCTCACTTTACACCATCACTTCAGTTCATAAACACGTCAAGGTTTTGAGAATAATTTTAGAAACCCAGCTAATAAAGCTGGCTCGTTAAAAAGAGACTAAAGCCATGTCATGACCAAAAGGAGACAAAAGAAACATGAAAAACATTTTTTTCGAAGAAAAAGTTTTCTCCCTCCAAAGCAATTGTACTGGGTGATGAGAGCCAGTGAGTCCAGAGCGGTCAGGAAACTTTCTCGAAGCTACTGACAATTTCACCCACCCCACACTGCATTCGGCTTTTCTAAGACATGTCAACTTGCCAAAAGATTTCACTGTTTACTAATTAATATGGAATAGTCAAGAGCAGGAGAAAATAAGCAGGGACAGACTTAGGGCAGGAGAAAGCAATGAAAGAAGTGAATTAAGTGATCAATTATTTACTGATACTTACAGATTCTCACAGATATACAAGGCCTCAAGGGCAAATAGGGAGATTTGGCGTCAGGTGCCAATCTTCTTCAGCAAGAAACCAGAGGCTTACCTCTTTGCTGTTTGTGGCATATTTGAAAAGAAGATTTCTCGGTAAGGAAGCCTCCGCCTGAACCGAAGTGCCTCCTTCCACACCAGAATCCCAGGGGTGGTCATTCACAATGTATGTACACTTCTCCTCAAACTCAGCCTCTGTCCACAGAGTCATATCTGCATCCTCCATGTCCATTTTCATGGTCCCTTCGGTCCCCTCTGCCAACCCTGGAACCTTCACAGCACTGGAGCTACACTTGGGGGCAGCCTGGAAGAGAAGGGAAAGGCCTTTAATCCCCATTGTCCCGTGGCTCCTCTGAGAGGCTATGACTAATACAGTCGTCTGAAGACTTTAAAAGCAGATGCAGAGCGCTTGGTACAGTTGAGTAAGAGCCAAAAAGCCGTGTAAAGATTGCCTTGGAGAAGCAAGGTTTTTAAATGCTATCCTTTAACAACAACAATAACAACAAAGAGTGTGGCAACCTCATTGGGGGACAAAGTTTACAAAAGAAAAGAACCACCTCCGAACAATCCCTGGTTTTACCTCTCACAGCAGAAAAATGTTGTGGGCGTCCAGTCTTCTGTCCCAGGACGCCTGGGGTCATGGCCGCCAGACCCTCAGCGCTGGAAAAGCTGCCTCAGAAAAGTGTCACAAACAAGGAGAGGAAGAGGAAGGAGCTCTGTCTGCCTCTGAATGAAGCTAAAAATGGAAAGCGCGTGCGGTGCAGGAGCGGAACCCAGCCTGCCTTTTCCAAATGGGGAAGACTGAACTTTCCCACCAGCTCCCAACTCAAAACAACTTTCAAAACAACTCGCCCCCCCCACACCCCCTCTGCAGCACGATCTCTTTCATCCTCTCACATGGAAGACTGAAAAGGACTGCATCCTGCCAGCATCACTGAGCTGCAGCTTTTGAGAAATCATCTGCACCATAGGAAAAGAGGAGGGAAGATGGGGTTGGGGGGCAGGGGGCAAACTCCCCACAGTTTCTTTTGACTGTGGGTATCTCACGCCAGATTGAAAAAGCAAAAACAAAACATAAAACTGCTCAATAGAATTCCCTAAAGAGAATTCCTTTAGGAGCCCTCAGCTACAAATAGCACTTTCCATTTAAATCTGAAAGTGTACGAATTCCCAGAAGTCACTGATGGGCTACAGTTTACTGTAACTAAAGTTATAACAAATATAGAAGGCTCAGAAGACAAGCTCCGCTTCCACTTGTAAACTGATAAGGGTATTCCCGCAAATCCACCCCCCCCCCCCCACACGCAGGAAAAGTGCTTTCCAAAGAGAGAGAGGGGGTAAAAAGGTAAACAACGTCTGCAGTGTTTTCCCATACAGACGTGTTGGGGGGAAAAGTAGGAACGTATTAAAAAGGAGTAGGGTGTTATTTCCATGTAAGAACGTGTCCTCGTTAGAATGTAAACACAACACTGTCCAAGTCCTTCAGGGTGGCTTTTCCATTCTGTTTCTTTTCTGAATATGATGACCACCCCCCCCCCTTTTTTTTAAATCAGATGCGAAGTTGTCCTTCCCTCAGTCACGATTGAAACAAACGCGCTTAAGTCTACGTAGCTGCGACATGTACAGTCGCGATGCCACATAAGTGTTAAAATAAAACCAATTTTAAATTAAGCCAACGCGGAATAGTTACTTTGTTGGACGGGGGTGGGCGGGAGTCACTATTGAAATTTCAATGAACTGCCAATTATGCCTAGAACTGAAAGGGTTAATGATTCATAAGGAAAAAGTCTTATAAATGTTTGACAGTGCTAAGCGCCCTAAAGCAGAAGCATTTCTGGTTTATACTGCGACTACGTTAGCCGAAAGAGGAGGGGGGGTAGTTTTCAGATCAATTTCAGAATGAAAAACAAGATCAAGTTCCTTACCAAGGTCGTACCCACACGTTTTTCCAAGCAAATATCCAACATCTGAGATAAATGTCGCTCATGCCTAAACAGTCCGCAGTGCTCCGCGTCCCCTCCCGGCCGAAGGCTGGCGCGCACCGCGGCGGTGCCCTTCTGCTCGGCCGCCCGCGCCCGCGTCCCGGCTCCCGGCGCGGACAGGTGCCGCGCTGCTCTGCCTCTCCGCAACACTGGAGGGCCGAGTGTCACGGCTGCGCTCACAGTCTCTGTTAACCAGGCCGGCGGCTCGGCCCTTACCCCCTCCCAGCCTGCAGATTTCCCATTCGTGATTCACTCCTACCAGTCGCCTGAAGAGGGGGCGTGGCCGCACCTGGCCAAGCCTCGCCGAGGGCTTTCCCCCCAACCCGCGAGCGCCCAGAGCTTCCTCTCTCCGTATCTGAATTTCAACATTTACTTGGAATCGTGACTTCCCTTTGAAGGCACTTAACCTCCGCGTAGACTCGGACTGTATTGTATTCTAAAGACTCCAGACCGCCCTCCTTCCTGCTGCGGCTTTGTGAGGGGGCGCACATTCCTTAAATTCAGGGAAACCTAAAAAGGATCTAAACTTGTGGAGTTCCTCGGCCGAGATCCAGTTAGAGAACTTACAAAACTTACTTGAAAAGAGCACGTGAAAAAGAGCAATTAATTTGCATGTTATGAAATAAGATGTAGCTGTCTAGTCCTCAAGCTATTGCTTGGGAAATAAAGGACTCCTTCCTCCCCCCTGCCCCCCCCCCGCCTAAATTTGTAAGCGTCTATTTCTCCTGATTATTAAAGCTCATACATAGTGAAACTGACTTCCCTCTTTCAATTATTTAGTAAATAGGGAAATAGGAAAAAGTTATAATCCTACAGATTAAAATTTCTTTGGCTTTTCTCCCCTCTCCAAAACCCACAGGCAGAGGAGTGTGTTTGCAAAATGTAGAGCAGTAATCTGTTTCTTAAAGAGAATGTGGAACTGATCACTGCGAGTGGAAGGCAGACGGAGGCAGTAATTAGTGGGGCTCGTCAGGAGCCCTGTCCGGCTTTTCCTCCAGCCCCAGTCAGTCCTCTGTTGAAGGAAGGACATCCTGTGATGATGGCATACAATGTCCTGTTTGTTTATTATTAAGAGCGTGGACCTTGCATTCCTGCTTCTCATTACAAAACAAACCAGATGCTTTACTTCCTTCAATGGTCTTGTGCCTTCAGCAAGGAATCCTCTAATTCAGAGACACAATCATGCAGAGGGTCCATTTAGAGCAGACACCCCATTACAAGGACTGTTTAGATCTTTGTAGCACAAGTTTCCCACTATTCCTGCTTCTCTTCTATATGTGGTGACTTTTAAAATCATCTCTCCTTCAACCTTAGGCTGCGGTGTCTTTTCTAACATTTAAATACACGTGTGATACACACCCACGTCCCGACAGACATGCACACCCCCACGTACACACACCCAGTCCCAACCTAATGATACCAACTTAGTCATACAATGAAGTGGACATGTGAGTATTTGTTTACAGGAAGAAACAAAGCCAAACAAAGCTCAACTCAACCATAAAAATATTTATCTTTAAAATTTCTTTTCTCTCTTTTAGGAAACGTTTCTAGAATTTTTTTGGGGGGGTGGGTGGGTAGAGGGGAGGTAAAAGATTATCTGGCAGGAAATGGTATTTGTCTCTAAAATCCTTCCTCAATCTCTGTAGTACAGAACAATTAAATTCCCACTAGGGGACATAAGTAACACAGTCCCCATCAGTGCCTGATGACCTGTGATTATGTGTTAGGCCAGAGGGGACGCTAGCACCCAGAGGAAACAGGACTTTGAATTGGCAGATGTGCTAGGGGGTGTAAAACTGAATGAACAATTTGTTAAAGAGTTCTCAGAAAGCTCGAGATGATAATTAAACAAGAGAAATCCAGCCTTCTTGAGAGGGTTTATTAACTGATGCTGAGTCAGCGCCACAATGGGCAAAAAACCCCGACATAGTCACACTGAAGGCCGGCCTGCTGTTCAGTCAGTCTCGCCTGCAGATGTTAGGGTATTTCACTTCCCTTTTAGAATCAAACTGTTCTTAGGCCACATACACCCTCCAAGGGCTGGTGAGTCAACCACAGTGGAGGAAGGAAAGGGGCAAAAAGTTGGATAGTTGAGATGGGAAGAGGCTATTTTAAACCAAATATTTACTTTAATGACTTGAAGATGCCAGTGAATCAACTCACTGTTAATTAATATCAGCCTGCACTCACCTTCAGAGGTGGTGAAATGGGCTTGAGTCTAGGGAGGACGCAAACTTCAAATACCAGTGTGGGGCTTAGCCAGGCAACCCTAAAATTAGTTCCAGGTGCTCCAGCTGAGCTGGAGAAGGCATGGTTGGAGCTTTCAAGAAAAAAGACACACAGACTGTTGAACTAGAAAATCCTTCCAATAATACCAAAAGCACAAACCTAACCATTTTTATTGTAATCATAGCAGTCAAAGGCCAGCCATAATATAATTTAAAATGAAAGCTGCAAAAAAAAAAAAAGGAAGAAAAGATAAAGGAAGGAAGCATGCCCCCTCATAAGAAAAAGTAGGTTCATATAGTCACACCTATGTCCAGCACAAAAGTGCTGGAGGAGAAGAAGAGGGGGTGGCCTTCTGAACTTCACTCTCCCGCTTCTAGAAGGCCCGAGCATAGCATTTAGAAAGCTGACAAGCAGGCAGATGTCAGCACTGGTACTGCTGTGCAGAGAAAGCTATCAGAGGCTGCCACTGTCTGGAATATTAAGTCTCAAAATGTTCATTTCTAAGTAATACCTTGGTGCATTTTTAGTCACTATATTATTTCCCGCCCTGTTAGAACACCAAAAAAAAAAAAAAAAAGCCAACCTCAGTTACCTTTATTAATCAGCATTTCTCAGGCAGAGTTCTCTCCTTAAGAGTGCTCACAATGGCAGCAAAATCATAAATGATCCGAACAGCTGGGCTCTCAGAAACCCCTATCTATTCCCTTTGATGGTGTCATCACAACGGCTTGACAAGTCTCTGCTATTCGGTCTTAGCTACTGGGCCTGGCCCATCCTTGGTGGTCTGGGAGTTGCAATGTAGGCGGCCAGATGAGTGTGAGCGAAGACTCTTGTAGAATGAAAGGAAACTCGGTACCAAATTTGGAGACCTGACTCCACTTGGGGGAAAAAAAAATTATTTTTTTTTTTCCTAAGGAAAGTAAAAAATGGGATGAAATGTGCCTAAGATGAAACGTGTTTTCATTTTCTAATTCAACTCCTGCTCTACCCAAACAAGGTCAATGACAGACTAACCACATCAAAAGAACACCCCCCACCCTCTTCTCCCCACTCCCTACCCACCCACCCACCCACCCTTACCCCCCACACCCACTTCCCACTTCCTGTAAGTCAGGCATCTTCCTGCTGGTAAACATTTGGGGACCAACTGCAAGTCTGAGCTCTAAAAGAGGGGCACTGCAGCTTTGAAGCCCTCCCACATGTCTCAAAGCCAAGCTGAGCACTAAGGGGCACTTGGTTTTTACACGTTAACAGCCTTTTCAACTCAAATCACTGGGCTCGGCGTGTTGGCTGCCTTCCTTTTTAAAAGCCGGACAAGAAGGGCAGGGATGTGTGTGAGTGAGAGAGAATGTATGTATGACACATGCTATGTTACAATGCAGTGTATGTGTCATTGGTATGATATGTGTATGATATGTTTCAGTGATGGGTTGCATCAGTTTAAAAATAGTACCAGGCTTCCTTCTGGTGACACAGCTCACAACTCCAAGACTCTGGACAAACCTATTCAGGGCCTAAACCTTGGGATGGTGATCCGAGGGGACTGTGGGTGTTTTGAAATGAGATCAGTGTTTTGACTTCTTAAATAGGGGAAACACAAATTAAGTAAATTGAAGAACCAAAGCTGAGGTCCCTTCCCTTCTTAGGAATAAAGAACTGGTAAGTGCCATCCAGAGGACTTTATAAAACCCACACAATGTCTGAGGTTTCAGGATTGACAGAATCACTTGTGTCTCATCCTGCCTAAGTGTCCTTTCAGCCTTCAGACATAGTTATGTTCTTATTGAATCATTTACATATGTTTAAATTATTCATGAGTTTGACATCCAGCCACTTAATAAACAACAACAGCAATTATAATCATTTCTATGAGATTTATGGGGCAACCAAGGTGGGTTTCCAATATTGGTGTTTCTTTCTAATTATGTATATTTTATCCAGTAGTCAGACAAGAGGGGGTTTTAAATGTCTGGAAAGGCTGCGGGAAAGACACAGGAAGGAAGATCATTTCTGAATCCGGAAAACATTTCCTAATCTTGCATTTGATGGGACAAAGACATAAAACAAACAAACAGAAGACAAAATAGGAACTGTAAATAAGGGAGTAAGAGCGCAACAGGAAAGGTGTCCATCCTGAAACTCAGCTTCCTCTTACCTCTTCTCTTCATTTAGGGAAGAGGAAGAGCAGCAGTCACACAAGGGGAGGAAGACCTGGGGCGGAAGCTTACTTCTGGCACCTTCCAGTGGGAGGAGAAATCACACTGAAGGTGGGGACTGGAGATCCAAGGTGGACTTACACGCAAAGGAGGGTTGCAGAGAGGATGTTTCAGCAGAGAGGGAGGTTTCAGCAGAGTGAGATGAAAGAGGGGCAAGTTGTCTTAAAAACAAAGGTGGGCTGATGAGAAGCACAGTAACTGGAAGAGCAGCCCTGAGCCCAGGAGAGCCCGCGCAGGCAGGACCCGTCTCCAAGGAATGGAAAAATATGCCCCATGGCTGGGCCTGCCACACTCCACTTCTCTGAAGCCCCGGAGTGTTCAACAAAGGATCAGGGAAGAATGATTTCTAATTAAAAACGGGATTGACGTTTCTTCTCATCCTTTCTAAGTGAGGATTCGAGGTTGTGGAGGCTTAATTTTTATGTGCTAGTGTGAGTTAGGAAGAGACAGAATTAACAGTGAAATCTTTTGAACACCCGGCCAAACAGAGTGGGGATGTGGGGGTGGGTAAGGTAGGACCCTTGTAATTTGTTTAAA